GCGAACATCACAGCTTTGCAAAAATGTGCTTGTCGACAGCTGTGGTTAAGCACTGGAAGGGACCAAGAAAAGAGCATCTATTTTCCTAAGATTGGCTTCCCCTTCCCAGAGCTGGTTTGGCAGCCCCGTCCTTGCCCTGGGCCTCTGTTGCATAAACAGACTTCATTATCCTTTTCTTTTTATTCAAAAAGTGGGACGTTTCAAATCCTTATCTGAAGAGGTCCATGGCCGGAGAAGTTAGACCTCTTTGTGAACAATATTTAGACGGTTTCTGATAAAGAAGAGGTCCAGAGGACACATTGCATGGGAAATATGCATCATGAGGTGGTAGATACACTTGGATTTGGGTGAGAGTGTGCTGAGTACTCTCACAAAAAAGGAGATGTGCAAGTTGGGACTAATATTTCTAACATCATTTTCTTGAGCACAAGATTCTCCTCAGGGCTGCATCCTGAGTCCACTGTTGTTCACCCTGTTGACCCAAGGACCAGTGATGAGATTCAGCTGGTTCGCACCAATTTGGGAGAACCTGTTGTTAAATGACCCATCCCCCAGCTATCAAAGTGGGTCCTGGACGCTGCAATGGAGAAACCGGCAACGGAGTGGCTGGCGCAAGGGAAGGAGAAAGCTTCCTTCCCTCTTTCTTCTCCCTGCTCCTCCTCCTCCTCCCCTCTTGCCGGCTGCTCCATTACCCGTTTCTCCATTGCAACGCAGTGTCCAGGATTGACTTTGATAGCAGAGTGGTAATTTAACAACCGGTTCGCCCAGGGGTCAGCTTGGCCATCGCAGGAGGCTTGTCCCACCTGTGCGACAGAGCTGGAGGATGGGGGATGGGGGATGGGCTACGCATCCCACAACAGCCAACCTGACCCTGGGCGAACCGGTGGTTAAATTATTTGAATCCCACCACCAGTGCCCAGGTTTGTCGCCAGCCCTATGGTGAAGTACGCGGACGATACAACAGTAGTGGGCCTTATTCAGGAGAACAATGAGGGTGCTTATTGCGAAGAAGAGGGTTTGGTGAACTGGTGTAGTGAAAACAGCCTCGTTTTCAACGTAGGAAAAACTAAAGAGATTGTTGTCACTTTCAGAAAAGGCAGGCCCAGCCACACACCTCTGTGAGTTAATGATTCACCTGTGGAGGTGGTTAGAAGCATCAAGTTTCTGGGAGGGCAGCTAACGAGTAGGCTGGCTTAGTCGCTCAACAGCGAGACACTGGCGAAACAGGCACAGAAGCACCTGCATTTTCTGCGTCGCACAAGAAAAGTACATCTCGCTCCCCCTGTCCTTGCCACTTTCTATAGAGGGACGATTGAAAGCATCCTGTGCTATTGCACTATGGTCTGGTTTGGAAGCATTACTGCTTCAGACAGGAAGGCAGTGCAGAGAGTGGTGAAGGCAGGTTAGTGGAGTAGGGAGGGAATGGGGATTTTGCAGTATATCCTTCCCCTGCCATGCCCACCAAGCCATGCCCACCAAGCCACGCCCACAGAACCGGTAGTAAACCATTTTTGAATCCCACCACTGTAATGGTGACACCCCTTAATCTGACTTAAGAATGGATGGAACAGGTACAAAAAAGGCTCCATGATTTGTCCTGCCGGCGGTCCACTCCTTGCAAAAGTTCATTGAGTGACCGTTCTTAGAATAACTTTGATTGTCGCTTTGAATGTACACCATTCGGCATACATTAAAATGAAATTACGTTGCATACAGCTCTGAAAGGGTCTCCACCTCTTAATATAAAAACATAAACATGACAAGGTAAATAAATAAATACAAAATTATGCATGGACCCACATATACTGTGTTCTATGACACGGAGAACTAGAACAGAGTTCTAATTTGACGTTACATCGGCACTGCAAAAGGTGACTTATGACCATTTTTCAGTCTTACGACCAGAGGTGGGATTCGAAAATTTTTACTGCCGGTTCTGTGGGCGTGGCTTGGTGGGCGTGGCAGGGGAAGGATGCTGCAAAATCCCCATTCCCTCCCCACCCAACTATCCTGCTTTCCAGCTCCATTCTCCTGTGCGGAGCAACCAAAGAAGACCCAGCTGATCAGCTGGGACTCAATGGGAGGCAGAGAATAAATGGGGTTGGCGGGGCCAGTCAGAGGTGTCATTGGCCAGTTCATCGAACTACTCAAAATTTCCGCTACCGGTTTCTCCAGAACTGACCAGAACCTGCTGAATACTACCTCTGATCCCACTCACCCTTTCCTTCTCCTGCTGTTTTCTTCTTAGCTATAACCATTTTATTTCCATTGTTCAGTTTTTGAAGCTGGGGGATGAGTTTCCTTTAAAAAGAAGGAAATTTGCAGCACCGTGTCCCAATGTCAGCTGATCCCTGCCCAATTGTAAATCCCTGGTGACATTTAAAATAATGGAGAAGAGACTGTTCCTTAGCATTGTTTTCTGCCCCCGTTTTATATTCCTCGACGCAAATGTCGTTGTTTATAGATTCTAACGCTTGCAAAGTTACCGTTTTAGAAGTTTCTGGTTTCAAGCACGTCATTTCATGGAAGGTTGCCATTTTGCCTTGAATTAAAAAGACTTTTGGAATAAAAAAGCGATTCACTCCCACTGAAATTGGAGACATTTAAGGAGATTTCGTAAACCATTTTTTTTTAAAGTATTGTTTTTTTTTAAAGACGCAAATGGGAGGGCCCTCTTTGAGAAAGGGAATAAAATGCTTGGTCTGAATATCCCCTCCAGATGAAAAATAAATAAATAAATTCACAGCACCGTAGCTGCAGCAACTATTTCGCTGCTTTCTGCAGGAATATGTAGAAACCAGCACGGTGGTTTTTCTAGAGCGAGATTATCCTTGCTGCTGCAAAATAGGACCATTTGGCGACAATCTTGTCAATTATATTAATTTGGTTTCTGCTGCTGGAGAAAGAAGCATGCTGGGGTACTGAGATACAGAGCCAAGAACCCTTGGCGGGGTGAATTAAAAAAACAACAACGATTCATGTAGAAGCCTGTTCTTGTTTAGAAAGGCCACAAGACAAGGGTGTGGAAAGGCTTGTCCTAGAAAACATGTCCTTCATCTCCACGCTCCATGTCATCCAGAAAAGTCCCAGGAAAACTAGGAAGGAATAGTTGCTAGTTTCAATATCAAAAACCAGAATTGCTATTTAAAATGCGAGTCTCCACCTCTAAAACTCATTAATGCATTTATAAATGAAATAATATGCAGGTGATATTGGCGAATGTGGAAAAACAAGCAAGGCTTAGCTGAACCTTGCATGGACTTGTGGACATCTAATCCCAGGTTTTTCATCTCTGGCCCTGCTAGCTAGAACTTGTGGGAACTTTGTCCCAAAGATGGTTTTTCCAAAAGGCAAATGGGACTTTCTTGGTTTTTCTTTTTTTCCTTTGAAAACATTTTGCTTCTCATCCAAGATGCTTTTTTTTTAAAGTTTTTGTTTTTTGTTTTAACAACAAAGACAACAAATAAAACCATCTTTCAATTTTATACTGTGTCGGTTGGGTACATATATCTTGTGCGCATAATAATGTTCTACATTTCTTGTTATACATTTATAAACAATTCTAATCAACATTTTATATCATATTGTTCAAAATTATATTATTATTGACCTTATAGTTATTATCTCTTAAAAACATATCTCATTCTTACTAAGTTATATTCATTCTCTTACTCATTCAAAATTAATCAGTTACAGTATATTATAACTATTATCCAAGATGCTTCTTCAGTTCTGAACTGAAAAAGCTTCTTGGATGAGAAGTGAAATATTTTCTAAGAGGGGGAGGAGAAACCAAGAAAGTCCAGTGGCCTTTTGGAAGAAACATCTGAGACAACCACGACTTGGATAATAGAGGATCTCCATAGCCAGACTGAGAATTTTAATTTTCTATTTGGAGATCAGTCATGAAAGCTCAGGCAGATATGGTTAACCACCCAACACCAAAAAGATCGTAAAACAATGCAAGGAAGACAAGTTGGCACAGTTCTCCAAGTAGAATTTTCTAAAAGAGAAGATGCCACCGCTGACAATCTCCTTATCTTGCTGGACATTATTGGGGGATTAGCTGGGACATCCACACCATGATAGACATGTGCAATCAAGGATTCCCTACAGATCTGCTCACACTGAAGAAGTTTTGTGGACGAGGAGACCCTCTCACGGGTTTTCTGTTGATGGAATTGGGACTGAAAGGGAAGGCCAAAATGAAATTGGATGTAGAGAAAAGTAAAGTCCTACACTAAGGCAAGAAAAAACAAAAGTCCACCTATAGACTGGGTGAAACCAGGTTCAATAGCAGGAACTGTGAGTGGGATCTTGGAGTCTTAGTGGACAACCAGCTAAATATGAGCCAGCAGTGTGCAGCAGCAGCCAAAAAAGCAAATGCTAAATTTGTTAACAGAGGGATACAATGAAGATCAAATGACGTATTAATACCACTCTATAAAGCCTTAGTAAGACCACTCCTAGAGCACTGCATTACTTTTGGTCACCACTCTATCAAAAAGATGTTGAAACTCTAGAAAGAGAAGAGCAACCAGGATGATGAGGGGACTGGAGACTAAAACATACGATGAACGGTTGCAGGAACTGGGCCTGGCTAGTCTAGGGAAGAGAAGGACCAGGGGAGACAGGATAGCAGCCTTCCAATATTTGAGGGACTGCCACAGAGAGGAGGAGGGGGTCAAGCTATTTTCTAAAGCACCCGAAGGTCAGACAAAGGAACAATGGATGGAAACTGATCAAGGAGAGATTCAACCTGGAAATAAGGAGGAATTTTCTACAAGTGAGAACAATCAATCCATGGAACATAAGTTGCCTTCGGAAGTTGTGGGAGCTTCATCCCTGGAATTTTTCAAGACTGCCAGCTGTCAGAAATGGTGTAGGGTCTCCTGCTTGGGTGCGGGGTTGGATTAGATGACCTCCAAGATCCCTTCCAACTTTATTAATCTGTTAAAAAAAAGACCACTTTCTCAAGGTTGTCTCCCATTCTCTTGCAGAGCTGAAAGAAGGGACCAAACGCTTCTCCATGGCAGGAGTGTCCAACTATACAACTTTGACCTTGGCCGACCGCAAAGGCCTGCTCTACGTTGGAGCCCGGGAAGCCATCTTTGCCTTAAGCATCAGCACCATGGAGATGGAGGAAGCGGTAAGTAGAAGAACGAATGGGGGTGGACTACTGGATCAACTAAGGAAGGTCCTAAGCCAGGTTTGGAGCAAGGACTTATTTCTCCACACCGGTTCCACAACACCTCCGCAAATGGGATTCCATTTAGTTCTGACTGTTAGAGCAGGGGTCCCCAAACTTGGCCACTTTTAAGACTTGTGGACTTCAACTCCCAGAATCCCTCCTCCAGTCGTGTTAGCTCAGGAATTCTGGGAGTTGAAGTCCACAAGTCTTAAACTTGCCAAGTTTGAAGACCCTTGTGTTAGAGTAATACAAGAACAGGAAATGCATCACAAGAACAATAGAGACGAAGCGTGGAGGGGCAATGTGATACAGGAAACCACTCCAATAGAGGGGAATGATAGAGCTGCATATAAGATAGAGCAGGGGTCTTCAAACTTGGCCACTTTTAAGACTTGTGGACTTCTACTCCCAGAATCCCTCCTCCAGTCGTGTTAGCTCAGGAATTCTGGGAGTTGAAGGCCACAAGTCTTAAAAGTGGCCCAGTTTGAAGACCCTTGTCTTTAAGATGTGTGGGCCACCTCCCGGAATTCATGACAGCTGAGGAATTCTGGGACATGGAAGTCCTCACATCTTGAAATGGCCAAGTTTGAAAAACCCTGAGTTAGAAGCAGAAGGTGCAGAATACAGAGTAACAGAGTTGGAAGGGATCTTGGAGGTAGATCTTCAAGTCCAACCTTCTGCTTCAAGCAAGAGACCCTATGTCAGAGGGGCAACTTTAAGACTTGTGGACTTCAACTCCCAGAATTCCTCAGCCAGCATAAAACCAAGTCTCTTAAAATATGCAGCATCCGTATTTGATCCCACGTGCTGGCTTTCCTCTCTTTTAATCCTGTTTTTGGGTGGCCTGATGTGTTTCAAACCCACCAATTTCCTTGGTTGATGGGTTCGGCATGCACGCCTACAAAACACTTGCCTCTAAAAGCAAGGTCAAGATTTACAAGAGGCAGGTGGATTTAGACTTGTGAGGGATTGATCCTGCTCACTGTTTTTAATTCCTGGTTAAATAAATAGGATCTGCCTGTCGCCAGTGGTCATTAATGGAAGGGCAGGTTCCTTTGGGGTTTATGGGCACTAAATCAGCCTACCTTCCCATCAACACTGGCAGCACAGCCCAAAGTTGGTGAGACAGGGTGGGGTCAGCCTTCAAATGCTGTTGCTCAGAGGGTAATTAAAGAGGAATAATTGTTTTTTGGCAGATACTTTGGGAGGCTCCAGCAGAGAGGAAAGCAGAATGCATCCAAAAAGGCAGAAGTAATCAGGTAAGCGCTTTCTGGAAACTCCACATTTGGTCTTTTCCTTCTGTTGAATTCCCTTAACATTAGAACATCGAAAAACGAAGTCAGAAGGGACCTTGGAGATCTTCTAGTCCAGCCCCCAGATCTTATGTGGTAGGGTACTGATGAAAAGGAAGTTTGATTGTGTGAGAGTGGGGCAGGGAGGGGGCAATTGCCTTTTGCTTAAGCGCTTTAAGAAAATATTGGTGGCAAACTCCCATTTTGGAGTTCTACTCCCCCTCCCCACCTGAAAAGAAATCTCTTCCAAATGCAAAACACAAGCAGAGGAGAGGAGGTTCAGTTTCACAGCAGCAAGCAGCTTTAGTACAGAATAGTTGAGCTAAGCCACACCCAGGGTCCTTGCTGTCTCCTTCTTGCTCACACAGCAAATACTGTTTCAGTTTCCAAACAGCCCTCAACTCTCTCACACAGTGACAGGACGCTAGCCAGATGAATACCGATGGATTGTAGTAGGCAAAGGCAGAATTCCTCCCCCCACCCATTTTCCTCCCCCAAAACTTGCCCGATAACATAGTTTTGTTAGCGAAGCACGGATATCCTGCTAATCATTTAATATTATTCTGGAAAGTCTTGGCGTTGGAAGCACTTACTTTCATCAAATCATTTATATTTAATATCATTTTAAATAGCCCAGAGTAATTTCTTCATTAATCAGAAGTAACTTTCATTAAAAATAGATGGGAGATCCCAAGTTGATTCATCCTTCCCCGTTAGACACAGTGAATTATGCTATAGGTAGACTGCAGGATGCCAGAGGGATACCAGAGAAGGCTGGTTCCAGATAGTGACTTGGCTTACGACCACAATTGGAATCAGAATTTCTGTTACTAACCAAGGCAGTTGTTGTGCCCAATTTTGTGATTTTTCTCTCGCGCTTTTTTTTCTTTTTGCCACAGTTGCTAAGGAAATCGTTAAGTAAGTTCTTAAGTGAGTCATGCAGCCATTGAACAAATCAGATGCTTGAGTGGTCTTTTGCTTTTACATATATAGAAGATATCAGAAGTTGAAAGTTTATTACCATGTACGCGTAAATAGTATTGTTAGTATTATCATTATGTATATACAGTAAATTGATCCGGACAATGCACTGTTCACGCAACCCCTATGGATGTCAAATAAAATAAAATAATTTTTAAAAAAAGATACAGTAAACCCAGGGTTGTCTTAAATTCTGGCTTCATCTTCCCTGCTAACGCAGCCGCCATGCCCGCACATTTTGCCCTGGAAAAGGTGCATTCTGCAGATTCAATTAAAGATGCTCTTTAAAATTAAGGCTCGGGGGGCGGGGGCAGTGCTGCAGGCGGCCGGAGATGTCTAAATTCCCTGATGTCTAAATTCCTTTCTCCACTCAAGCTTTCTCAGATCTTTATTTTACTTCAGGACAATCTCAGCTGCCTTGAGAATTAGCTACCCCGCTGTTAAAGACGGCTACAATTTCAGTTGACTCTCACGCAACGGCGAAGCCAATGCTCTCAGCGCAAGACCCTCTTGGGTGCATAGGTGATGTGCTGTCCAGACAGTATATAGTTCATTGGGAATTGGGAGCTGTCCCCTTAAGGGAATGCCTCATGGGAAACCTAGTTAATGTCATGTGGTCACATCTGTAATCCTGATTGGTCACTGAATTGACCCTTGGTTGGGTTGGGGGAAGCCTTGGTTCCTTTCTTGCCTGGACCCAGCAGCATACTGGATCCCTTTGCTCCATCATTATGGGATGGAGGTAACTGTATTTTCCCACTATGAAGTCAGCTATGCAAAGATTTGGACGTTAGATGAATCTCAACATAACTGTGAGTTATACCTCGAGAATGCCTTGTGATCCAATAAAGAAAACTTTGCATGGAAGCCTTTGTAGAGTTTGCCTGACTGTCTTTATATTCAGCCAGCAATTTAAAGACAGAACAGTGAAAATATAGTGACCAATCGGGATTACAGAAGTGACCACATGACATTAACTACGTTTCCCATGAGGCATTCCCTTAAGGGGACAGCTCCCAATTCCCAATTAACTACTGTCTGGACAGCACACTCCCCACTTGAAATTATCAATTCCACTACCAACTATCTATTAGCTATATACTGTCTGACCAGCACAGGTGGGTTGTGGGGAAGTTTGTTATAACACAACCTCTCCTTTCCCTCCGCAGACTGAATGTTTCAACTACATCCGCTTTCTCCAGACCTACAACAGCTCTCACATGTACACTTGTGGCACGTATGCCTTCCAGCCCAAATGTGGCTACATTGTGAGTAGAGCGGAAACATTTTTCCCCGTACGTGATGACAAGCAAGCCTAGCTTGTCATGGGGGTTGATTAACAGCCTGTTCTTTTTCTCCGTGCCCTTTTCCAGGATCTGGCCACCTTCTCCTTGGACAGGTTTTCCTTTGAGGAAGGCAAGGGCAAGTGTCCGTACGATCCTGCCAAGGGATACACGAGCCTCATTGTGGGTAAGTGACCATCGGGTATGTGTGTGCTAAAGGAGAGCGGAGGTGATGATGATGGGGCTATCGCGCCGAGGAGAATTTCTTGGGCAAAAGGGAAGCGCCAGCTTATGCAGGCCTTCTGCCTGCCTGGTTGCTTCCCTGTTGGGCTTTACTCAGGATAAACCAGCGTTTCTCGACTTTGGCCATTTAAGAGGTGCGGACCTCAACTTCTGGCATTTCCCAGCCAGTTTCCAGAACTGGATAAGATAAAAGGACGGGATGGGATGGGAAGAATGGAATAGCAATAGCACTTAAACTTATATACCACTTCATAGTGCTTTACAGCCCTCTCTAAGTGGTTTAAAGAGTCAGCCTCTTGCCTCACCACAATCTGAGTCCTCATTTTACCCACCTCGGAAGGATAGAAGGCTGAGTCAACCTTGAGCCTGGTGAGATTTGAACTGCCAAACTGCAGGCAGCTGGCAGTCAGCAGAAGGAGCCTGCAGTACTGCATTCTAACCACTGTGCCACTGCAGTGAACAGAATACAATAGAATGCAGAACAGAATAGAACAGAACAATGCAATGAAGAATAGAATAGAATAGAAAATAGAATAGAATAATGGAATGAAGAATAGAATAGAATAGAATAGAATAGAATAGAATAGAATAGAATAGAATAGAATAGAATAGAATAGAATAGAATAGAATAATGGAATGAAGAATAGAATAGAATAGAAAATAGAATAGAATAATGGAATGAAGAATAGAATAGAAAATAGAATAGAATAAGAATAAGAATAGAATAGAATAGAATAGAATAGAATAATGGAATGAAGAATAGAATAGAATAAAAGAATAATAATAGAATAGGATAGGATAGAATAGAATAGAATAGAATAATAGAATAGAATAGAATAGAATAGAATAGAATAGAATAGAATAGAATAATAGAATAATGCAATGAAGAATAGACTAAAAAATAGAATAGAATAGAATAATGAATGAAGAATAGAATAGAAAATAAAATAGAAAATAGAACAGAGCAAGATAGGACAGAATACGGGAGGGCAGGGGAGGGGAATGGAGAGGCGAGCTATAACCTCTATTGTCGCTTTTATTCTGTGAACACAATAGCACACATTAAAAGCTCTTGAGAGTTAGCAAGGTTGATACTCTATGGTACAAAGCTATCACAGAATCTAGTTCTTCTGCTTCGGATATCGCAAAGGCTCCTCCCAGAAGGTAACAAAGAAAACCGGTCATGGAAAGGATGGGTAGCATCCCCGACAATACAGCAGATCCTGGTCGAGTGTCACTTAACAAGCTGTGCCCTGAATTGTGGGAATTGAAGTCCGCACCCCTTAAAAGCTGCTAAGGCTGAGAAACATGACCCTCGACAGTCAAGCATATCTCCTCTTTGGAATCTGACTGGAGCTCCAGTTTTCCCCTTTAGCTGGGCCAATGCCTTTTCCTTGCCTGTTTCAGAAGAAGAGTTGTATTCTGCAACACACAACAACTTCCTGGGCACCGATCCCGTGATCCTACGCAACCTGGGGCCACAGTATCCCGTCAAGACGGAGCACCTGCCTACGTGGCTGAATGGTGAGATGCTACAAGGGGATGTTTCTTCCAGGGATCTTCTCAGCGTGGTTACACAAGGATTTCCCTTTGTGAACCAACTTTTTCTGGTCTGGGCAGTGGGAGAATCACAACGCTGCGTATTGGATACACATGCTGCTTAAATTGTTTGCATTGCTCTTACTTGGCTTGGAGTAACTTACACTCATCGTTGTATCTTCAGCACTGGCTAGGATTTTGTATAGCATGCTAGGTTGCATTCACATGAGTATAGTCACTGTCTGGTCAATACATGGTAAAAACCCAGTCTGTCATGCTCCTGTCGGAATCTGATTCAGAGGGAAAGGCTGAACAGCTGACAGGGACTGGGACTGTGGCTCCGTTGGCTGTGGAAGAAACTGGGGAAGGGTAAAGTCCAGCTGGGCAGAGCAGGGGAGAGGTAGAACAAAGGAGGGAGTTCAGAGGAAGACCCAAGTTCTCCCCGTCTTCATCCTAGGCCACGCAGGGAGGAACGGAGAAGGGAGCAACGTGAGTTGCGTGGCTTGTGGGGGAGGAAAGGGCCCTGATTCCCTTCATTAGCTGAAGCTGGGAACACAGTGTTTAAAAAGGGAAGCTGCACACAGCAAACTTAGGAGCAAATCGTGAATTTATCTGGTCTTGTCATGGCTTATATATGTTCCTGGCGTCTTCCCAACTGTGTGAGTTTTGCTGGCCTTTCAAGTCTGCAATTCCTTCTCCTGCCCTGTCAAGTTAATTACTGCAGTGTGGTTTGTGTGGATTTTTAGTTACAGTCTGTATGTATCTTGTTTTGGACTTAATTCCCTGCAGTTAAAAGCTGTTCCTGGGAGAGTTTTTCTCCAGCCGAAGGTAACCTGGACAATGGGGGCAAAGTTGGAGATAATAAAGGGACTCTTCTTGCTTATTTGACTGTGTTGCCTTCGCGCCACGCCCCTTTGGGTCATAGCATGTTGTTGAAGGCAAGCTGTGATGTTTATTCATAATATGGTGGATGGCATGTGATATGAATGTGGAATTTAGCTGGGTTTCTGGATCTAGATTGTGGCAGAAAACTCAATAGTCACTAGACGGCAACCAAGAGTTTGGGCTTTCTGTATCTCCTGGCAGCCATTTCTTTGCCGCCATCTTTTGATAACTGCGGAGTACGACATTGTGGAACTGTTGCCAATTTGCCATCTGGATTAGAAAGGGGGTGCACAGGAAGTGGTCTTACATCGTCGGATCCCACTTGGAGAGAGGTCCATGGTGTTGGGCAGAGGTCTCGCACCGAATCTACTATATCACCTCTTTAATCCGGACAGGGGCGTAGGCTGTCTTTGCGATAAATTACTTTTTGTTATAATTAACTGAAAATAAATCAGTGGGATGCTGACATTTTTATTATACCTTTAATTTTTTTGATGCCGCCCAACTCTGACATTTTGTAAAGCAATGCGCCAGTCTCTGGCATCATCTAATTCCTGTCTCTTGTTCCGTGCAAACTGGCATTTTTAGAAAATAAAACTATTGGGAGGAGTGTGTGTATGTGTGTATGTGTATGGCTTCCATCCAGGGTTGGCCTTGGAAATCTGCCCACCTCAGGGAAAGTGGGCTGGTAGAGAACATTCTGGGGTGTGTGTGAACACAGTATCTTCGGGGAGACGAGAGTTTTGTAACTGATAGGGTTGACTGGAACAAAATGGATGAATATTGTTTGTTTTATTATAATTGGGAGAAGGAAAAAAAACTTTTGTTTTAAGTGTAATGGTGGCAGAACCAAGAACGAAAAAGGGGATAAACCATAGAAAATATAAATTGAACATGAATTTATGAATGATTATTTGAATGATATAAATATGTTTTATTACCGCAAATATGACAAGTACTGTATATACTCGAGTATAAGCCTGGTTTTTCAGCCCAATTTTTGTGCTGAAAAAATCCCCCTCGGCTTATACTCAAGTCAGATTCCCCTCTGAAAAAAAAATGGTGTGGAGTCGCGGCCTCCAGCGGCAGCGACTCCCAACAGCCCCAGCC